CCAGATGTTGGACACCCCCTCCCAAATTCTGATGTTCCTGAAGAACAGGACCAACGCCCAGGCTGTATCAAGCAATTCCTCCCTCTCCCTGGATATTGCATTTCTAGTACATTCCACAATTATTCTTAATAGATGCCAGAAAGAAAGCAGGGAAAACTGGGTCAACCCAAGGCCTCCTGGAAAACCACTCTGCAGTAGAAGATGGCAGACCTTTCACTGTGTTGTGCCCATATAGGCACCCGGCGCATACAGATGCACTGAGGAGTCAGTCATTAAATTAACGCAGGTAACTGACAGAGAGACCTGATTCACGTTATAAAATGTGAAACCTAGTTATTCTAATGAGGTGACATGTTTGTTCATAAGATAATCCTGTCCAATTACTACTAATTGAAACAGCCTCCATATGAGTTTCCTGGGGCTTCATTTGCCTTGCTCATTTAAAATTAAATCAGTCCATTCCACAGCATCCTTCAGGTTTATGTCAACCAGAAGGGAGATTTCTAGCACCTACCATGGATCTACTCTTGGTTGCATCTTATTCTGTGTTGGTCAATGCCTGCATGCAGGAATTGCCAACCAGATAAGAAAGCATGGTGAAGATACTTGGAGTTATAATCAGAATCCAAATACACTTCCACGGGCTCATACTTCCTCTTATAAGGAAAGATTGGCAGGGCCACAAATAACCTGCATCAGTCCAGGATGATGTAGACTGGGTTTCAGAATTCCATACAAGTGAAAGAATGAAACCATTTCCTTTTCCAGAAGTCAGTGGTGTAGTGTGGCTGCCCAAGAGGCACATGGGTCCTGCGGCCACATGAAGAGGAATGGTGTCAAGATGGGGCAGATGAGAGACAGTCCCTGCTGGTACTTGTCTGAGCATACCTGGAGGGCCACATTCCGGGAAAATGGGAATCTATGGAGGCAAACAACAGGAAGTGGGGGGGGGGGCTTTGAACCAGTATACAGAGTGGCTGAAAGTCATCGTTAGCATAAAGAAGAAAGCCTGGGGATACAGCAGTGCTGTCCTCAGATATCCAAAGCCACACAAGTAGAGTTAAAAACAGATCCCTAAGTAGGCCCTTGTGATCTGGAACTACCGGTTTTTGCTGGCCACTTTTTATCTTTCTTTTAAGCCCCGCCTCCTCTTGGAGAGTCCCTCCAGCTTTCCACTTGGCTGTCCCGCAGGCACCTCAACCCTTCCTCCAGAAACCTTGGAAGCATCTGGGGCTTCACCCTCCCCTGTCCATTTTCTCACCAAATCTGGATCAGTCTACCTCTTAAGTATTTCACCCATGTGCCCCATCTCTCCTTGGTGCCTTGTCTTCTGCAGTAGCCTCTTAATTAATGTCCCTAATTCCATCTCAGCACATCAGACATAAGGACCTTTCCTCATTATACTGCTCCTCTGCCCAAAACCCTTTGAAAGCCTTCATTTTTTTGCCTGATTAATTCATTTTAAATTTCATTTAATTGACGCATGCTGTGTAATTGTACATATTTATGGGGCATAGTGTGATAATTTGACACATGTATATGAATAGTTTAAGGAGGCCTTGTGCAAGCAGGCTCTTGGCCGGGTGTCCCTTTTCAGCTCCCCAAGGGATCCTTAATGCCATTCTCTCCCATATTTACAGTGGGCTGGCTAGTCCCTTAATGCCTGTGCTCATGCTGCTGCTTCCGCCTCATACTCATTCCTCTGTTTCTGCCTTCAAAACAAAGCTACCTAAAGCCTTTCCCTATCTTCAGGCTGCGGCTAGGTGAAAGACCCATGTGAAGGTTTTCCTCTCGCTCTGAACTTGCTCCAGTTTTTGCTTACACATTCCCTTGTGCCACTTCCCTTAGCTTGCCATGTGTTAGCCCTGCCTCAGCACCAGCAGGCCCACACTGGATGCTGAGGGGCAGCAAGTCATAAACTGTGCCAACCTAGCCTGACCTGGAAGACAGTGCCTGTGTTTCGGTTTCTGGTGCCTCCAAATGCACCCCTGCTCACATCACATTGGGCTTTCACAGCCTGTGTTGTTCTGATATTTCCTTGCAAGCCTCTACCTTCAGAGTAAGGAGCATCCTGGATCCCATATCCATCAAAACTTTAAGATGTTATCCTTACCTGCTTTCCAAGTCCAGCTCACCCATGTCATTCCCGAAGGCCCCAGACACTGCAGATCTTCCCCTCTGCACATCTGCCTTCCCCCGCAAGCTCCTGTTTTCCAGCAGCATTAAGGGCTCTCAGCTGACGTAGTCTGGCCACTGAGACTATTTTTCTCTAGAAGAAAGTGACTGTTAAAACTCATGGACTCTTCAGAGGTATTGTCACCTGAGTCTAGGTGGCTGTCATCACCAAGGCAGTGTGTGTGTGTGTGTGTGTGTGTGTGTGTGTGTGTGTGTGACTGAGGCTGTCCATATTGAGTTGTCGTTGTGTCCTATGGCCACAACCTTGGCAGCCTTAAGGTTGAAGGTGTCAGTACACTGGATCATACATCCCTAACATGGTTAGGATCTGTCTGGTCTGAAAGACAAGGGTGAATTTTTAGGACAGAGAGCCTCAGACTTGGCCTGCAGTACTCTAACCTGGACCAGAAGATGTCACTGTAGGCTTAAACCAGTGAAACAAATTAGGGGAGGAGACCCACAGCTAAGCATGAAGGTGACTCTCTTATGGAAGTTTCAGTCACCCAGCAGCCTCCCATTACAATGCATGCCTGGAAAACCTGGTTAAAAGGTTAATCCAGATGTGTCACTGGACTAAATAACTTTCTTTCTCCCCAATAATTAGACTAATTGCCACTAAACTGTTTCCTCAGGCCTAACATAAATGCTTGATAAATATGTGCACAATGAATGAGTGAACGAATAATGAATAAGAAGTAAATGACTGAATGAATACTAAAATAGGAGTGGGAGGAGGGAGTCCACGTGTACAGTAGCCATCTTCACTGGTGAAAGCTACAGGGGAACAAAAGCTGCTACTCTTTAGCAAGGGCTCTTCACAGAGATGAATTTTAGCAACACCAGAAAGGTCAAGTCATAGAAGTACAGAGATAGATGAAGGTGCTCTTGGCGCCATCTTCATCTGGTCTCCCAGATTCTTCTATGTCAAATGTGTGTTTATTCCATTAAAAAGTGTAAAGATTTTTTTCTTTAAAAAAATATCACCTTCTTGTTATTTTTTTGCAATGAGCTTGGGTTATCACCCAGGGTTTTTTATGTGTTGACCCATGTTCCCATCCCTCTCCTTCCCAATCCCAGAACTGTTCATTAAATAAGCAGTTAAAGGAACCTGCGAGATTCTGCAGTGTGCTCGGTATGAAGGAAAAGGTATAAACCCGAGCGAATGGGAAGAGGGTTGGAGAAATACAGGGCGGAGGCGTTGTTCTAGAAAACCGAGTGCGAGTGGCAATGCAAACAAGTAATTGTAACTCTGTATGGAAAGTGTTTTAGCAAAGACGAAGGAGGGAAGTGCTATGGCAACAGAGGAAAAAATGATTGCAGCAGCAGGGGAGAGGGATTTTTCTCAAAGCAGAGATGGGACTTGGACTGAGACTTGAAAGATAAGTAGAATTTTCCAGTTGAAGAAGGAAGTCTATGCCAGGTAGAAGAAATGCCATGTGGCGGGGGTAGAGGTATAGAAGATAGATCCTAGGAAGCTTGAGATGTTACAAACCCAGGAACTGGAAGAAATGTTTCACCCAGAACATTCAGTCAGCCAGGTGGCTAACAGAGTTCCCTCTGGCTCCCTATGTGCACATACAGGACCACCCACCAGCCCCTCTGTGGGGATAGATAAGCGTCACAAAAGCTGGAGCCATCCTCCAGCTTTCCCTTAAGAAAGTAATGCCAGCATTCAGTGTTCACTGCTGTTTTCCTTTCACAACATGCCCTTCAGGGACCTCACCCTTCATCTTCTGCACCTGAATGGGAATTCGTTTCTCACAAAAAGCACAACCAGAGGGTCTTTTTTCTCATAGAGCACCCCAGATCATTGACCTTGACATTTCTGGGGTACGGTGTGTGTGTACACTCACTATGTATAGGTGCAGGTATGTCACCGCGTGGCTTGAATGTTTGCTAGTCTGGTATTTGAGCAAAGAACTTTATCTATTTGCAGATCAAAAGGAAAGACAAGCATGCAGCACAGTCTCCACAGTTACTGGCATCCATATGTCCTTTCAGTAGAAAAGGGATATTTTGCAGCCCTTAGACTTAACTTTCCTATCCTGGGAATATTGCTGTGGGAGCAAAGGTTGAGACAATGGTAGTTGTCTACATATATGCCATTGGTAGCTACCATGTCTATTTCAGTCTGTGACTAACCACCGTGTTTATTTCTGGAAGCCCTGGGCTGCTCTGCCTATCTCTACATTCCATTTCCATAACGCATGAGCTGTGCTATTGCGACAACAACCAGGGACAAGGGTATCATATCAGATGCTCCTTCGATGCAATTTTGGTTTTTTAATAAGATTTTCTGATTAGAATGGATACTGGGAAATGCTTGTGTACATTTCACAAGAAGGATTGGAATTGGAGCTCATTTGTCATTTATCCATTTCATATCAACAAATTGTTGGCTTTCATGGAGTCTCCATTTTGTGCTCAGTTAGTGAAGGTTTAGGGTGAAGGATGTGAAATAAAATGGCTGACTTCTGAGCCACTGACATCATTGGGAGGATTTTGCCATTGGTTGGAGAGGAAGGAAAAAAAGGGGAGGAGAAATAGGAGTGAAGAACAAGGCCAATGTCTTGAGTCTGTAACTGTTTTTGTTTACCTATTTTAGCTATAGTGTCAGCAGATTGGGTGGAGGACTTAGCTATCTGGTCAGGCTAGTGGAATTTAGAGAGGGGACTGCAGCACAATTCACATGACAAATATCACCAGGTCCTTGTCATTCCTCCTTCGCCTTTTTTACTGGCCATCGACATCACATATGTCAGGCACCTCCCTGACTCGTCTGTCACCCACATCTTTGACTCTTTTTCCCTGTGCTTCATCCGTAGGAACTTCCACTACATCACCATCCTCCGAGACCCCGTGTCCCGGTACTTGAGTGAGTGGAGGCATGTCCAGAGAGGGGCGACGTGGAAAGCATCCCTGCATGTCTGTGATGGAAGGCCCCCAACCTCAGAGGAGCTGCCCAGCTGCTATACTGGAGATGACTGGTCTGGCTGCCCCCTGAAAGAGTTCATGGACTGCCCCTACAATCTGGCCAACAACCGCCAGGTGCGCATGCTCTCTGACCTCACCCTAGTAGGCTGCTACAACCTTTCTGTCATGCCGGAAAAGCAGAGAAACAAGGTCCTTCTGGAAAGCGCCAAGTCAAACCTGAAGCACATGGCTTTCTTCGGCCTCACTGAGTTTCAGCGGAAGACCCAGTATCTGTTTGAGAAGACCTTCAACATGAACTTTATCTCGCCGTTTACCCAATACAATACCACTAGAGCCTCTAGTGTAGAGATCAATGAGGATATCCAAAAGCGTATTGAGGGGCTGAATTTTCTGGATATGGAGTTGTACAGCTATGCAAAAGACCTCTTTCTGCAAAGGTATCAGTTTATGAGGCAGAAAGAGCATCAGGAGGCCAGGAGGAAGCGCCAGGAGCAACGCAAATTTCTGAAGGGAAGGTTCCTTCAGACCCATTTCCAGAGCCAGAGCCAGAGCCAGAATCCTGGTCAGAATCAGAGTCAGAACCCAAATCCCAATGCGAATCAGAATGTGACTCAGAATCTGATTCAAAATCTGACTCAGAACTCGAGTCAGAGTTTGAGTCAGAAGGAGAACCGGTCAAACCGGAAACAGAACGCAGGCCAGGAGCAGAATGATAGCAACAGCAGCAGTGGCGCCAGTGACTACATAGGCAGCGTAGAGAAATGGCGTTAAGTGGCTCTCAGAGGCGCATGCTTACTTCTCCCTAAGCGCCGCCCAAACATGGCATATTTTAAAAGATAAAAATGTCCTAACACATCCTGCTTCCTTAATTTTGGAAGTTAAAAAAAGTTTAGATGTTGCCTTTACAGTTGCCTTTCAATGAAATGTTATACTGTGCGTGGGTGAAACAAATCTCCATGTGTAATTAAATTGTCTCTTTTTTTGGTTGGACTATTTATGAAATCCAAAAGCCAAACCAGACTCAAATAGCTAAAATTGCTGTTTAGTTATTTTAAGAAGTTCTTAAATTAGGAATGGAGACAAAATGAAAACATAAAATGTGACCATTTAGCTTATGGATAAGAGGTGGACTTTAAAGGATGTGCAATACACTGTTAAAAAACCAATCTTAGAAGCAAACTTTTTTCCCCTGGCTAAACATAGCATAAACATCACATGAAACACAAAACCTTTTATTTTCTTCTGATTTTCACAAGGGATCTACTTAAACACCTTAACAATTGATGATACATTTGCCCAACTGTAGACAGTAAAGAATTCCTCTCTTAAACATGGGTGGTTTTATGTAAAAATATTTGCCTTTGAAGTAGAACAGGGCTCATATCTTATAATTTAAGAGATCTTTAAAATTTTAAACTTTTTCTACCTGATACTATTGAAAGGTTTTAAACAGGGTCTAACTCATACTAAACAAAGCATATTTTTTCCAAATGAACTAAATACCAGTGTGAAGATCTAATTTTCAGATGCTTTCAGGGCACTGTAATTTCAACAATTCTGGAATCTTTTTGGCGCTGCTTCTCATTCACTTTAAGGCTTCTCCGAGTTGTGCTCATTCCAAATGAACCCATGTATAGAATCTTCATCATCTAAATGGTGTGTTGCTGAATTGATTGTGATGTATAATCCTGGATTCAAGTCAGGACTTTCTTTCTATAGAATTGTCTTATCAATGTTTGTGTAGTGAGGTCCCTATGAAGAAACTCATGAACAGGATAATGTGTCCACAAATATTGCTGAAGTGATTCTTGGTCAGGTAGAATCAAACCTGAATGTGAACTGTTACTTACTTTTTGTACAACTTTATTGTAATGTTTCCAGTTTGGCTAGCTATTTCTGGCCCATTGGTTCTTTTTTTGTGTGTGCTGACAAATTTGTAGACAACTACAAGAACAAAACATTGGTAGAACAAGTACTAGGGTGGCCAGAGTTCTTCAGTAACACTAAAAGCTTTCTTGAAACTTTGACACTTTGGGTTAATCATTCTACAAGGTTTTTATTTATGAAATAATAAAAAGAAGAGTTTACTGCAGTGAAGTAGCAGAAACATACACTTTAAGGAAAGAAATTTGGTAGTGTAAGTCTATGGAAAAGTACTTTTATGCTATCAATTATGAATTGAGTATAGCCACAGAAGTATGAGCTCGGTAGGCTGCCAAACATCATGATTCTGGGTAGTTCCCATGTTATATGGATTTTGCTACATTTTCAAAAGAACTTACACCCCCCCAATCAACCAAAGTGACCAGAAATGGCATTTATGTTTTGAGAAGTGACATGCTTAAAACTGTGACCATAAAGTCGTATCTTGTACAATCTGCCAACATGCATGATCTAGTTCATCAGTAATAATATGGCCACAAGCTGAATAAGGAGCTGAGCATTTGGGTTTAAGATGGATTTTTTCAACTCTGAGCCTGTATCAGTATGTCTGGCTTTTGTTTTATCTGATAATATTGCAATTCTGGGAATTCTGAGACCTAAAAAACTGGAAGAAAATAAACACACACACACACACACACACACACACCTTGAAGTCAAAGTGTTTTAGAGTGAAACTATTTAGTGTACATTGTGTTTTTAAAATATTCTGTAGATCACTATGGTATTTCATTTTGTTATTATTAATTGAAAATGTTTCCTCTTAAAACTGACAAATAGGATGAGGCCTGAGCCAATGGAAAAACTTTGTTACAGAAAAAAATCTGTGTTATTACTGTGGTGTGCATGGTTTGCAGAGATTAAGTGCTTTTTCTCTGTCTATACTGACTATTGTACATAGGGGGTGTTATAAATATACATTTTTGTCATAATGCAAATCCCATAATTTCACTGTAAACATCTGCCAATGGTGTAGCTTTACAGATCATCCACTGATTTTGTGTAATTTAACAATAAATATGAAATAAAGTTTAAATTACAGTCTGTGAGTCATTTTATGATGTCAAACTTTGTTGCCACTAGACATGCTGACATCATAGACCAGGTATGGGAATGAGAATTCTCATTCTAATCCCTCACATTAAAATGGCTTTACTTTGGGGTTCTTCCTTCTGGGACTCCATGTTTTGAGTAAAAGAAAATTGTCCATTAAAGACAAGGTTCACTATACAAATGAAATATGCACATGCTTTAATTTAAACATCATTAACGTAGATACTTTCTTATTTTAGAACACATAGGACAGAAGAATAGCGCTCTTAATTTCCTGTCTATCCCCTCTATCCACAAGGTTAAAGGTATACGTGAACATTTTGACTTTTACATTCTGGAGCACAATTTGTTCTACTTACATTCACTGTAAGTTCTTGTGATTAGGACCGTGTATAGGGTTCGCTTGTGCTTGTTTCTTTCTAAAGATACTTTTGGTGCAAAATACGAAAGAGAGAGAGAGGGGAGAAAAAGTTATCATAATCCAGTATGAACAATGTATCTAAAATCTAAATGTTTACCTTGATTTACTATAATTGTCTTATACATTGTATATGGTTCTCTGGCCTGTTAGTCTGGCCATTCATCTGTATTTAAGATAATTAACTTGATAAAGACTTACAAGAAATAAGACATTTTTGGTATCAGCTCCAAAGGACTAGAGGAAAGAATGCTACACTGGATGTGGAGTATAAGTATCCTCATTATAGTTGTATATAAACTGTACTTTGAAGGTTTTTCCCATCAACTATTGATTGAGCAATAATTGGACTGGGGTGTAGCTCAGTGACAGAGTACATGTTTAGTATGTGTGGATCCCTGGGTTCAATCACTAACCATCCTCTCCCCCTGCCCACAGACACGCACACACACACACACACACAGATCACTGGGTAGCCAAAAATCTCTATTGTTTGAAGGTCCCATAACCCCTTGAGAGGAAGCTTAAATAGGAACATGGAGGTCAACAACTTGAAATATTCAGGGGGTAGACTTTGGTCTGCCTTTCCCTTGAGGAGGACAGATACCCTGGGACAACAGAGCATTCTTGCTACTTTCTAGAATTATCCTAAAGACCATTCCTGATACTTGCAAATTGAGAAGTGGGAGACAAGGGTATTCTTTCAGTATGGTGGTGGCCATTTGCATCTGGCTAGGACTTCTTCCTCTTTTGTCCTCACTAGGAATTAAACAAACAAAAATTGCATCATTTGTAGAAAATTCTAACAAGAAATATGGGATATATTGACTCCCAACATAAGCCCTTGGGACTTGGAATCCTAATCTCTTATATGATGAGAAGAAACAAGCTGCAAAGTTCTGGTTGTCAAAAGAATTTGGACCACACCGTAAAAATATCAAAGTAACACTCAGACGTCTGCAAGTGTGCAAAGCCCTGAAAAGGTCAGGGAACAATTAGCCTGAAAATGAAGCATATCAGTTGTTTCTCAGTTTATGAGGCACTGCTCTGAACAATCAGAACAGGGGTCCAAACAACTGCCCCGGGGCCAATTCGGCCTCTTTCTGCTTCTGTAAATAAAGTGTCATCAGCACACCACACTGCCTAGTTCTTTGCATATTTTCTCTGGCTGCTCTCAAGCTATACTGGCAGACATAATTGAAACAGGGATCCTATGACTGCAAAAACCTGAAATTTTTCTTTTCTTGGCTTTTGGAGACAAGTTTGCTCAGTTCCAGAGCTAGATAGCCAAATGAAATTTCTAACATACTGAAAAATTAGCAGTTTCCCAGAATTTAAGAAAACAGAGGCGTGATTAAAACAACATGCTTCCCAAGATCACAGTGCCACAAACTATATGTACGGAGCACTTGCTCCATGAAAGATACACGATTAGGCCTGAGAATGAGGAAAACCTGGACTTTTCTTTCAGGATTGAGGAAATCTAAGGCAAATGCTGTGTCAGTGTAAGGAAAAGCTTAAGCGATTCTTTAGGAGGCTCAAATGCTTGATGTCTGCCAGGTCCTTGAGTGTACGTGTGGGTTTGATCACCTGTTTACAAGAATTGAAACTATATATGTGCATAAAATAAAAAGTGAAGTTACCTATATAGCCCCAGTCCCCCCCAAATAACTACTTGCCTTAGTCATATTCAAGTCTAATAAGTTGCTCGCATACAGACACAGCTGCAAATAATATTTATAGAAAAGATGAAACCATATTGTTCTCAGGTGTATGAATTTTTTATTAGGGCACGTTTGCAGCATATCCTGGTTACACTCCTCCTGTGGCATGGGTGTGTGCACACGACGCATCCTAATTCCTTTTCTCATCCCTTTCCCACCCCTCCCTGCATCTCTGGATCCCCTTCAATGACCTCTCTCCTATCAAATTGTTTTCATTTTTACTCAACTTATTTTTAATTTTTGTTGATCGATTGATTGCAGTGTTAGAGATGGAACCCAGAGTCTTCCGTAAGTTAGACATGCTCTACTACCAAGCTATGGCTCTGGCCCTCAATTTCCTTTCTTAAAATGCTCTGGGGTTTATCATAGTTTTTCTGGCCAAAGAGGAATATGAGGGGGGTGTTGACCTGATTCCTCCAATCTGACTTTTGTTGCTGTTAGAATCTCAGACCATAGGCTTTAGATGCATACTACCTGGGTTTAAATCCCAGTTCCACCAAGTACTTGCTCTGTGACCTTGGGAAAATCATTAACCTCCTCATTTCTCAGCTTCCCCTCCTGTAAACAGAAAAAACTAAGACCCACAGTCAGACATTTACTGTGAAAATTAAGCAAGTGAATATTTGTAAAGCACTTAGTACACTACCCGAGATGCAGTAAATCTTACATGTATGACAAATATCATTTTTCCTGTTAATAGCAGGAAGGCTAGATGTCTGCTGAAGTCCCATGTCTTCAGAAAGGATGGACTCTAGTCAGATCAAAAAATGAAAATATGAGCAAAAAATAGAATATATCCCACTGTGACAAACTTCTAAAAAGATTTTCTAAAAAATAAGTAAATATATTTCAAATGTCACACCATTAAATGTATAAATATCTTTCCTAAGGCTTGCTTCTGAGCTGTGAATGTAGCCAGTGACAGAAGGATTCCGAAAGATCTAATCCACAAAATGCCAAGTGAGTCACAGATCTTCTCTCCGGCAATAAAAGTGCATCATCTGATAGCCCTGGCTGGCTTGGGACCTACTTTATCACACGTAAAAGGATGACTCACTTTCAAACCCCTTCCTTCCCCACCCACCTCTTTACCTAGCGTCATCAGAGCATGGTCCTGTCTGCCTGATGAGATCTGAGAGTCCCAAAGGTCTGGTCACCTCCATCACATGTCTCAGTGAAAGTAGCATGATCAGAGGACCCTATTAAAATACATATATGCCACCAAGGAGGGAGGAGGGAGACTGACCCATTAAAAGTTAGCACATATTAGTTTATCAGATTACCAGTCACGAAGGGCCCTCAGGGAAAGGGACACACGGGACTTGTGAATTCAACTAGCTCATTTCACTTTTTAAAATAAGAAAAGAAAATGGATGTTTGTTTCTATCCTGTTTGAATTTTAAAATTTCAGCCTCATTGCCTTAAGGACAGGATAAGGTTCAATAATCCTCATCAAATCTCACTGAGTTGTATCAATTCTATTCTCATGATGTCTGGTTGGATCTTGTGACTTCATTGCTACTGGTAAGATTTAATGATGCCTAACTGGGCTAAGAATAGTTGAATTGCTTTTGTGTCTCAAACACGCTCTATTGGGTTTCATGTGACTTAGGAGGGCCTTTGTGAAACTGTAGCCTCACGAGAACATGCCATGCCGTAGCTTGAAAAGACCTAGCCACCAAATACAGCCAGTCCTCACCAACCTTCCCATGGATTAACCCAAAACACCAAGAATGTGCTTTTCTCAGGTCTCAAGGTGGCCTTCTGTCCCTGAAGCCACACAGAGGAGGGTCATTTGTCCACCAAGGCCCTTAAGATTACATAGCAAAGACTTCATGAATTTCATGAAAGGTGAGCATTTAGACTTCACAAAACTGAACAGGTACATAAGACTAGTCAAGGTGAATAAGATTTCTCTAAAATTACTTTCATAACACTGAAGCCATTGACCCGTGGCCTCAGAATTCTCCTTGATGTGATTGAAAATGCAGATTTGCTGGGTCCCACCGCCAATGATCCGAAGTCAAATCTCTGGGGTGTGAAAGGAGACTGTGTTTTCGGAGAGATCCTCCGGGCTTCCAAGTCTCATGTCAGATGGAGGGTTACTGCCCTGGATCGCAGGTCTGATCACAGCGCTGCCCTCCTCAGCAAGCTGTGATGCTGTGTGCTATGTGCAGATTGATGCCCCTGCTTCTCTGCTAAGTGCACAAAGCTGTCTGCAGTCTGGTCTCATATCTTCTCAGGCGCACTGCTGAATAGCACTTTATTCAGCCCTGTACTCCAATTAAAGTCCCTTGTGCCTTGTCCCAGGCATGGACCTTCCAAGATGAATTTGAACAGGTTTATCAGGTGGCATTGACTCTAACAGAATATATAAAATCTTAAATAGGCTGATAGCTATCTTAATAGAGTTTTAAGGAACACCCATTAGCACTGGCATAAGTGTCAACCAGTTAGACTGAGCAAGCAGAGCAAGTGACAGTCCCGCCCCCCCGGCCATCTGCTCATACAGAGCAGAGGAAGCCATATTGGATAGTTCAAGCTGGTGGAACCTCCAGGAGGGCTGGAGACTACTGGGTTACTCGGTCACAGCCGAAGCTCCACTCTCAATTTTTGTTTGATTTGCATAGCTTGCCCACCATGTCTCACACCTGGGAGTCAAGCTAGCCCCAGGCTCTGGGAACAAGCCCATCCTGAGTCTGAAGCCATTTGTTTAGCCAGTTCTGGCTTGCGGAGCAAGTACACAGATTCTAGAAATTTGATTTTCGTCTTGTTGCCCACTCATTTACCAAACCTGCATTGAGCACTTTGCTGTGAGGTGGGGCCCTGGAACAGGAAGCT